AGGGGGATTCTGACGCATGGGCAACCCAGGATCTCCAAATTCACTGCCCAGGCACGCCATCGTTCATGGCGTATAGCATCGTCTTTCGAGACGGCTGGCCTATATATATATAATAATACTACTAATAATAATAATATTAATAATAATATTAATAATATTAATAATAATAATAATAATAATATTAATAATAATATTAATAATAATAATAATAATAATAATACTAATAATAATACTAATAATAATAATAATATTAATAATAATATTACTAATAATAATAATAATAATATTAATAATAATAATACTAATAATAATAATAATAATAATATTAATAATAATAATAATAATATTAATATTAATAATAATAATATTAATATTAATAATAATAATAATAATATTAATAAAAATAATAATAAATAATAATAATAATAATAATAATAATAATAATAATAATAATAATAATAATAATAATAATAATATTTATTTGGCAAAAGAATCGAAACAACATGGATTGCCCGGATAGAGAACAGGCGAAAGCCCGAAGAAGAATTGCTCCCTATCCTTCATATTATGAAATACACCAGTACAAAAAAAAAACAATCAGAATTAATCAGAAACATATAAAGATATAAAATGCTTAACTAAATCACTCTTAAAAGGGGAAATATTAACAGATTTTTGAAGCAGAGGAGGCAGTTCTTCCCAGATTCTGGGAAAGGACACAACAGCAGAGTTGAGAAAAATATTGCTTTTGGCTTCACAGTGAAAACGCCTGACCTCACAACGCTCACTTCTACGAACAAACTCTGTTAATGTAAATTATAAAGACCTTTGAAACCAAGAATGCTGGTGATATTTAAAAATATCTTATATTCTTAAGATGTTAAATGTATTGAGCCTATCCTGATAATGTGTGTCTCAGTCACCATCTTTTATAGGCCTATACATAATTATTATGAAGTAGGCCTTATCTATATTATAACTATACGCTCAATTGAACTGATTCGTTATTGGTGCATTCATATAAAAACCACACAAATCAATGGAAAAATTCATTTGAATAATAATAAAATCCATTATACAAGATACACTTACTGCAGTTTTTGTATGAAAATTTCAGTAAAATATAATTTAAAATAATACTGTACTTTTAAAATGTAAAACGACCCAACATTAATCAACAACAATAGGCCTAGGCCTATACACAATTTATCAAGAAGGCTATTAAAATATACAGTATATCAATTTGGTCAATCGTTTAATATTATATAACACTATTCCATCAGTCCCGTAGCCAGCCCAGCTAATCTAGCTAATACCATGTTGTATAGGCCTAATTTATGGCAATCTATAGTGCCATACGCTATCTGTATGAGTGGGTGGGTTTGGCTGTGAGTGATACATACACATGAGTAATCAAATCCAGAAAAAGAACAGAATAAAAACAAAAACAAAAATCAAACAAAAAAACGACATTTTTTTTTCTCTTTCGTGGCGTAACCACCACCTTTATTCAAACAATCAGTACAGTACAGTACAATATTTCCTTCTATATCGATTTTTTTTTTCATTACCTTCATGGCATTATTATTTATTTTTTTTATACAACCAGTAACGTGTATAATCGAATAAAGGTAATTTGGAACTAAATATAATTTAAATTGTTTAATAGAATAATTTTTTTTATATCACATTATACGGTATATAATTATAATATAACACACTTTATTTAAATAAATAAATCCTTCAGCACATAATAAATCCTTCAGCACATCGGAAACGCTTCCATTACGGTTTGGTTCCGGTGTGAATGCCGCTAAATAGGCCTATTTTACAAATAAGTAGGCCTTTTTTTTACAAACGTTATTCCATTGTTTCTTTTCATATTTTTTTTAAATATTTTTGATATTAAAATATAAAACTCTTAATTAATTTAATATACTTACAAATATTTTTCAATTTAATCCCAATTATTCAAAATTAGAACAATGATAATAATACTATAGATAACAAAATAAAACTCATTCAAGTATAACGTTCCATTCATAATTATTTTCTTTTACAAAATTCTTAAATATAATCCATGCATTTTTACAAACAAGGCTTACCTAGCTCTGTTAGAATTTTAATTTTGTATATAGCAAATACTGCAGTGGAATATATCTCATTTTTAATTCTGCTATCACAGCCTATTAATAATTCTTTAAAAGAAGATTGACCGTTATCAAGTTTCTTAAATAGATTGTCTATATTTTCCCATAATATCCTATTTTTTAGACATTCAAAAAACATGTGCTTTTCATCCTCGACTGCTCCACACGTATCACACGTGTCAGTGTGTTTTAACTTCCATTTATACAATTGCCTATTTGTTGGAGAGATTTTGTTTAACAATTTATAATTTAGTTGTGCATACTTTCTATTTTTTTCCTCCTTTATTTTTCTCATCTAGACTTTAGACCAGTTTATTTTCTCTCCAATAAATAGATCCCACTTATTTTCAACATAGGGTGGGATAAACATTTTATCGACAAAACATGAATAAATATCTTTTGTTTTCATTTTACCTATACTTTCATATTCATCAGTCATCACGGACTCGTCATTACCAATACCATTATAATGTCTTATGACGTACAACCACTCTTTTGGAATAGCTTGTATCAACGAGGCGTATTCACTAAGCCAGTTTCTTTTATCAATTAACTTATTTAAAATTTCATTGGACGTCATTATTCGATTTTTTATAACAATATCCTTGATTCGTTTAAAATTCGAATCTATCCATGCCCTGAACCATAGTGATTTGTTATTGTGACAAATCAATTTGTTTCCCCAAAGATTCTGTTGAAGGATTTCTCTGTAATTAT